CTTGTCAATTCATGGAGAAATATTTGGTGTTTCATTCATTCTTAAATATTCATTCTAAAATAATTCTGTATTCTTAAATAGAAATGCTGTATTTATGAACAAAACATTTCCTCACTACAGTTACAGATGTTTGTAACAGTGACTGTGCTTTCCTGTTTAATCACTTGCTGTAAAGTCCCAGCTTTGGAAGTTGTATAAAACTGTTTTGTGTTCTAGTATTTAGGAGCAAAATAGCTTCAATTCATGTTGCATATGTTTCTCACTCTTTACCTCTTCCCTCTCCATAAATTTCAACAAATTATGCTCTAAGTGGAATGAATGCATCATCAACACAATTTGTTTTCTGCTGTTTGTATCTCCTCTATAGGTTCTTTACTCAATAGTCGCTTCATTAGTCAAAGCTGAGTGTCCATAAATGCCTTGGACACACACAACATGCATACATCATCATCACAATCATCATTGCCAGGGCTCCCAAAAGTTTTCCAAACATATTTCTTCATCGTCCATTCTTATGTTTTCTTTTTACTGTAGTTCATTTTTGGGCTCCTGTAATCTGTTCTGATATTTTCCTGGTCCATTTCTCTTGCTAAGGATTGTTTCCTGAATCTTTTACTGCTGTTGTACTTATATGCTTATATGTACTCTGACTCACTGATTTCCTTCTCTGCTCCCAGAACCCTGGACTTACATTTATCTTTTATATACTGTACATATTTTTTATGCAGCATACAGATTTAACAACTATATGTTAATAAGGGCAGCACATGTTGGTCCCTTTAAGACACAAAGGCAATTTTAATTTTATATTGTTCATTAAAAATCATAGTTCCGAAAGCACTCAAGTGTATTTTTTCTCTTCTTTTTATGGACAACTGTTTTGTAACTGGAGACATTCCATTAAAACATGAAATTGTTTTGACCTCTTGTATTTTGGAAAATACAGTATGACGTCATTCTCAATGGGAAGACAATTTTGGTTAAACGATGCTTTGAAACCTCTCTGTCCATTTACAAATTGTGGCTCGCCGCATTTCTCACACTTCTCCTGGAGCTTGTGACCCAGATATTAATTCTTTTCGACACGCTTTCTGGTCTGGAGTCCCCCTTTCTCGCATGCTCTTTAATTCGCTCTACTTTGCTTCAAATTCCTGCACTCTTCCTCTTTCTCCAAATGTTTTCTTCTTTTTACTTTCTAGGGAGTCATCTCTGTTGCTTATTAAGTGTGTTTGAGATGAGAAACTTTTTTAATGCTTTGAGTCAAACAATGTGCTCCTCTCAGAATCATAGCTATCACACCTAAAGGTGGGCAGATACTGCAACCTGAAACATTGTGAACCAAAAAAACATTTCTTAGCAAATTCTGAAGACAAGAAAATAACAAATGTAATATTTGTTTAATCATGAAGTACATTAAATACTGCTCTTTTTTGGTTCACTTTCTAAGCATTTCTCCAAATTAGTCACAAGGGGGCATAGTAACTACTGATACAGATAAGAAATGACACTTGGTGCCTTTTGTCTTGCGTTTTTTTCCTCAATGTTGAAAGTAACTGAATACCTTGAAAAGAAATATACAGAATAGAAAGCTGTGTATACAGTATGCTGTTTGTACTAAACCCAGAAAGTCTGAAAATGAACTTAAAGAAAAAGATTATAGCCTTCCGACAAAAGAATGGGTCAACTAATGGCTCAACATACTACTGTATATACATATATATAGTATGTCAATTGATATCATCAATTGAAATCCAGCTTTCCAAAGTAAAATGGTCTAATGTGCTTCAAGAGTGGAAGAAGCTCAAACAACATGACGTGACGAGTGTTGCCTGTTTAAACAAACCCATTCAAGCGTCGAATGATCTGAAAGCAAGAATGTGCTGCAGAAGCAGCAGACACCCTAAAAAGATATTTGCTTGGATGAAGAGAAAAATAAGTGATTAAGTGATTAAGTGAGAACACAAGCAAGAGCATGCGACATAACTGCAAGAGTAAATTGTCCAAAGACCAGACGCACCGCAAGACAAATCAAATCATTCTTTTTTTACTTTCTTATTGTTTTGCTAATTTCTGCTTGTTTGCTACACCAACTGAGCAACTAAACCATAATTTATTTAAACGGACAGTTATTGCTGGCATTACTACACTTACCACCATTTTTTATTTATTTTTTCAAATTCCTATTGAAATTGATAAACAGCATTGCAGATAAATATGATTTCAACTACTAAAGGACAAAATGCCTGAATTTTGTGTTTTACCACCCACAGAATATTGGGGGAGGAAACAAATATTGCTTATTTCTTGGCAGCGATTCCAAACTTTAATGTATAACACATACAGTATTAC